AATGGGCGATTGCATTTTGTGCTGTGGTTTGCTTTTTACGAGCTGTGATGGAGGCTCCCTCACTTTTTCTGGTTCTGTGTACAAACAGAATGAAGCCCAGAGCCCGGCGTGCCAGCCTAATATTTGGCTGTTCCAGGATCGGTCCTCACTGCGGCTGCATAGCAACAATCTGAAGCCTGGCTTTCATCTAATTACTCTATCACATAATTTTGCAAATTGCCATTTCACTGGGGAGCTGAGTGCAAAGACATAAGCACAGCGGGATTTGGGGCAATGGCTTCCATTTATTACTAATTTCTCGTTAAATTAAACAAGAAAATACTGTTTGTGAGATAGAGAGTGAAAATCAGGAGGGAACAAGGAATGGGAAGGAGGGGGACAAAGAGTCCAATTTCATGGCCACAGGAACAGGAAAGCTGCTCAGTGCACCCAACATTCCTCTCCAGGATGCCTGGCACAATCACACTATCTTTCTCAGATTAAAAAACAACAACTTTAAAGCAGGAACAATAACAAGTTTAGGGTTTTTGTTGTTGTTGGTTTTTTTTACTTCACCACAAAGTTTATTGGAATGTGTTCACGCCAGTTTTACAGCATGCTAAAACACTTTTGAGTGGCATGTAATTAGCTAGCATCTCTCGCCATACTATTCTCAGACCTGTAAATGCTCGCTTCCACTTGCCCTCAAGCCGGCTAATAACCGGGGATTGAAAACAACTGATTAAAGAGCAGCTTCAGGGTGTTGCTACCCCATAAGCCTTCACCGTCTCCTCTGTATCTCTCTCCATTCCACTTATTGTTTCCTATCCTCCTCTCTTCCACCAAATGGCTCATCAGAATAATCTTGTACTGCCACCCACTTCACACACTTCCGTCTCGACACAATGGGTTCACTGGTTGATTCATGTGACGTGCAAAGAGTGCATTCTTGCTGCGGTTGGGCCCTGAACTGCGAGACATATGTAATCTATATTTATCTGAGACAGAAGGCTATCATCTGTGTGTGTTGTTTGTGCCGCTTGCTAATTGCCGCTGTCTTTATCTCCAAGGGCCAGACCTGAGGACTGTTCTTTAAAGCAGGAACAATAACAAGTTTAGGGTTTTTGTTGTTGTTGTTGTTGGGTTTTTTTTACTTCACCACAAAGTTTATTGGAATGTGTTCACGCCAGTTTTACAGCATGCTAAAACACTTTTGAGTGGCAAGTAATTAGCTAGCATCTCTCGCCATACTATTCTCAGACCTGTAAATGCCCGCTTCCACTTGCCCTCAAGCCGGCTAATAACCGGGGATTGAAAACAACTGATTAAAGAGCAGCTTCAGGGTGTTGCTACCCCATAAGCCTTCACCGTCTCCTCTGTATCTCTCTCCATTCCACTTATTGTTTCCTATCCTCCTCTCTTCCACCAAATGGCTCATCAGAATAATCTTGTACTGCCACCCACTTCACACACTTCCGTCTCGACACAATGGGTTCACTGGTTGATTCATGTGACGTGCAAAGAGTGCATTCTTGCTGCGGTTGGGCCCTGAACTGCGAGACATATGTAATCTATATTTATCTGAGACAGAAGGCTATCATCTGTGTGTGTTGTTTGTGCCGCTTGCTAATTGCCGCTGTCTTTATCTCCAAGGGCCAGACCTGAGGACTGTTCCTTTACACATCGATTCAGAGGAAAAGGGACATCGCAGGTTCAGCAACTACCTTTTCCAACAATCCTGTGCTCTCACACTTTCTCCTACGTCTTTGTGGCCCCACTTGAGACTTTCCGATGTCCTTTTAGTAAAAGCCAGTTGGAGACGGAAGGGGAGAAGACTGCATTGTCCGTAGGTTCAGTCATCCGTGCCTCACGTGCTGTGTGTTGTTTTGTTCTCCACACAAATGCTGAGCTGTCAGAGTGAAGCATTTGAAGCAGAGTGAAATTAGTCTAATTTCCAGAGTTTGCTGTAAGGAGCGCTGTGCAAACCTATTAATGGCAGAGACCAAAAGTGTTTCCATTTATGTTTCGATCTGACTCTCTGTCTCAGTATTAAAGTTAAATTCCTTTCTCTCACTTTCTGTCTGTCTCTCAATCTATCTCTCTTTTTCTCTCATGCTTTCTTCTCAGACACTTTAGTAGGAATTCTGATGCCATATTATTGGTTTCTCTATTTTTTTGCATCTCATGCACTGAGTTTTGAGGCATGTTTACACTGGCAATGAGATGCACAGCAATAATAATTCATTTTCAATAAACTGGAGATTTTTGGTGACATGAGCAATTGTGATGGTTGGCGATATAGCAAAGAATTTCAACTTTATATAAATGAGCTTGGATGCAATTCTGCGACTACCAATGGGAATACAGAAACGGATCTGCAGCCTGGTACAGTTGAATACAGTCAAGTAGGAACGTCTATGAGCAATCACTGTCATTGTAAAAACCTCTTTACTGCAAAAGAGTCCTGTGCCGTCATGATGGTAGGTTGTTGCTAGTGCACTGCTAAGTGCTTGCTAGGGTGAAAAAATTAATCTGAGTGCTTACATATAATAGCACGTCTTTCCTTAACAAGCCACATAATTTAAGATATACAGAGCATGAAAGACAAGTTACGTTCCTAAGTTTAATACTTAAGGTTAGGGTTTAAGCAATATTAAGAGTAGAATTCTAAGCCTTACCTAAACCCTAACCATATGTTATATATGGTATTTTTGCATTTTTATACTAATAATAATAATAACATTTACTATTTATAAATTATATTTTACTTTCAAGCTGTCCTAAAAGGGAGGTTTTGTCAGATTTAGCAATCTTCCTTGTGACAACTTTGTCCCTACAGTATAGTTAAACACACTTGAGACAGAACAAGCCCTCAAAGACACAATACTGTCCACCATATTGGTCAGCCAAGACAAACAAGGAATTAAACTTCCATCAGTCTATGCTCTTGTGGTTCGTGTGTACGTGTGTGTGTGTGTGCGCGCCTGTGTGAACTGGCAAATGGCTTTCTTTTCACACACCTTTCTCCTGGGGCCGCTAAAGGTGGTAGTTGGTGGGGGTTTGAGAGTATGTATGTGTGTGTTGGGGGTGTGTTTGGAGCAGGTGAAGTTCTGGGGTGCTCAGGCGTATTTCTGTGGCACAGATGTAGGAATGGAGGGGCCAAGGGGGAGCGAGCATGTGGGGGATTTTGGCACTGATCAAATGCACTCCCTTTTGACTGCAGAAACACATTTCCTTTCAACACCTAAAAATACATGTTGCTGGGCCATAATAGCTACTTCAGTCATAAAGTGTAACACAAACGAATAAGGCTTAAGTAATATGTTTATTTAAAATAACCCTATGTGAATATTTCACTGTCTTTAATTAAGAGTCATTATTATTATGAGTTGTGCAGAGCCTGCATCTCAGTGTATGTGAGAGAGAGAGGCTGGCAGAGGTGTGTAAAGCCTGTGAGAAGCATAGATATATGGAGATAAGTGGTGTCTTGACAGCACTCCGATTACTTTGTGGTAAATGAAATAGAGGAAGTGAAATCCATCAAAGCAAGAGGAAGAGCCAACCACATCAATGCCCCATGCTGCTCTATCACTTCTCTATGGCAGGTGTAGACAGACACAGTAAGAGAACTAACCACCAGTCCCAAAAACACATTCAACTAACCAGCTAACTCAGTTCTGATAGATGTACAATGGCCCCCAAAAGTATTTAGATGCTTATACCACTTGGTTTTAAATGTTTCTACAACTACTTTTAGTCTTCTTTTTTAACATCATATATATATATATATATATATATACATAAAAAATGTCCCCCTGACCTAACAAACTTTGGCTTGTAAACTGTGCTTGTGCTATCTTTTTTAATAAATGCCACTTGGTTTGATATTTTCTTATATAATTCAATGATATCCCTACATCTTTAAATGTCGCTTTAGTGCCCAAATATTTTAGAGGCCACTGTATGTACCCTATGCCTATCTCCAGATACTCATTTTACAGAGATTTCCTAAAATTCTCCACAAATAACAGTAGAAAGAATGGAAAACGACAGCTTACATCTGTATCAACTATCTCTGCTATCTTCAGCTTAAGGCTGTTTTTTTTTCCTTGGTTTAAAACTTAAGAGAGTGTGTGGTTAAGGCTAGGAAAGATAAAGTAAATTGTGTGTGTGAGCAAGCATGTGCGTAGCAGTAGCACTACATTTGACCATGTCAGTGGCTTTGAAGTACAGCATGCAGTATTGGCTGTGGAAGGCCCAAAGAGAAGCAGAAAGAGGAAAGATCACTCTACTGGACTCACCGTCAAGTGCTGGAAGAGCCATGCCCTCATGATGTTGGTCGCCACTTTAGGGAAGATACCACGTTTTTTATTCCTCTTCTTCTCCTTGTCGGGGTCGTCATCATCTCCCGTGCTAGGTGACGCCACACTGTTGTCTAGCCCGTCACCTGTCACAAACACACAGGGAGTCAGTGGACAAGTTTTCCAAAAACTTGATAACAGGGTAAGTAGATAACAGGCAACAATAGTGCTTCGGTATAGCTTTAAAAGCATCACGTCTGAATGCATTCATTTTTAATACATTTATAAATAACCCCCCTTTCTCATCCCCCACACAAACGCTCAGAGAGAGAGAGAGAGAGAGAGAGAGAGAGAGAGAGTACAATGGACTTGTAAGGTCGCATTTCCCCCCTGCCTTCTAACACAGTGAGTCACCAAAGAATTGAGAATGACAGAGAGATTTAGTCTTCATTATCCCAGGGAAATATTGATTGAAGCTCGCCCCGGTGTCTTTTTACCTCATGTGGGGGAGTTACACGCTATGAAAAAGAGGAAGGAGGGGGGTGAATATTGCTGCCGCACAAAACGGCAGCTTTTCAAAGAGCTGCATTTTAATAACAATGCTGCATGGGTGCTTGCAGCAACCTGTGGGTGCTCGATAAGGCTTTATAATGGGCAGTTCAACATACCAGAGCAGAGGATATGGCTTACCTCGCTTTTTCAGCTTCATGTTGCCGTTTTTCTTGCGTATGCTGATTTTATTCCTATCCCCAATTATTGTACGCATTCTCCCTCAATGAGAGCCCAAATACGCCACTGAGAAGGCTTCTGATAATTGTTATTATGAACCCACGATTCAGATAATAAACCATAAAAGAAACACAAGCGAGGCAAACAACTGCACACTGCAAGGTTTTAAATAGCGGTGGCACAGGAATGGAGAGAGTAACTTATTGATTACGTATAAAGCACTTCCAAAAGCCCCAGTGCTATTCGTACAGAGAGATTATGGTGGGTTAACTCTTTCTCTCGCTGTAGCTTTCAGTCAGCGACATAAGGCACCTGTATCATTGATAATTAATGGAAATGTCTGCAGTAATCCAGTTGGAGATATTTTTTTTTCACCAGCTCCATGCATCAATAGAATAATCAAGGGTCTAAAAGATTCTTTGCTCCCCATTACCTCAGGCAAAAGAATTCCTGAAAGCATGCCTTGCGGGCACCTGAATTATATACGCCATTAGGAGAGCGAAGGCTTTCTACATTCCATATAAAACTCTCCGCCAGCCCTCTCCGCCTAGGAGAGAAGCCCCAGAAAAGACGCAGACTTTTTAAGTGAAGACTTATGTAGATACAATGGCTTTGCCTTTAACACAAGGGCACTTTCCCTCAGTCAGTCACTTACTGAGAAACTGACCAGAGTTTCCACAAGAAAAAATTACTATGAGATGTCAAAGGCGAGTTTCGATTACATAATTTACTGATGCTTAGAGAGCAGTTTGTCTTCCGACTGTTTTTAGGCAAATAGAACTTCCCAGCTCCCATCTGCGAAGGCAGTGGCACCGCTGGTTTGTAATCTAAGACACCATTTTCATTAGAATCAAATGCTCCAAATCCGGTGTAAAGACTAGTTTGTGTTCAGTAAAGCCTAAAATAATAAACTCTGAGCTTGTCCCATGTGAGTTAGCAAAACAGAAGCAAACACTGGATATCAGGTCAGACGGAGGAAGAAGGAAGGGGGGTACGACAAAAGAGTAAAAGAGGGCAGGGTGAGTGATGTCTGAGGTAACTCCGTTGCGTGTGTGCTCTCTTGAGCTTTTGTCTTCCGCCTCTTCTAGCCATTTTGAACTATTTAACCTCCCTTCCCCAATATTTTTCCTTAAAAACTGACCTCTGAAGGCTTAGACCTTCAAGGCAAAAAAGGGGGAGCGAAACGAAAGCTGTCAATTTTATTGGGATTTCCATTTTTGACGCAATTTGATACTGATTCAGCTTGAGCCTGGGACTCATTTCACCTCTCTTTTAGCATTGCGATGTCATTGTAAGCACATGGCAGTGTCTATACAGTTGAGTTTTTTTTTTAGACAATACACAATATTACATGTTCATTTATATGCTATTAAAAAGATGACATGTGACTTTAAGTGATTTTAGGCGTTTTCCTAACTTCCGCCATTTTGCTCATTTCAACACCTCTCACCAAAACCCTGCCCTCCACAATCATGTCAGCAAAGCCAAACATGCAAAATGATTTACAAGAAGAGAGCATTTCTGATTGGCTAAAAAGCTGTCTCTCCCCTCACTCGTTTCTTTCTGCCGTTTACAGAGCCTAGGGCTGTCACAGAGATGTGAGTTTTCTCAGGACACCTATTTTAGTGTGTCAGGAAGCAGGATGTGCCTATCGCTGTCAATTTTATTGGTATTTCCATCTTCGACGCAATTTGATACCGGTTCACCTAGTTCCGGTTCGTCTAGGTCTAATTTTGCATCTATTTTAGCACTGGAGTGTAGGCACAGGCTTATGGCAGTGTCTATATGGCACTGTTGTGTCAAAATGTCAGCCCATTGCCGAGCTTCTGCACTCTTCCCTCGCCAAATAAAGACGAATGATGGCGGCGAGACTGAAAAGGTGGAAATAATCATAAAAATGATGCTAGTCCATAAACAAGCTCACAGCCTCATTAGTCCAGCAGCAGGCTCCACTGGCAGATTTATTCGCCTTTTCGCTGATGCCATGAGGAAATGCCACGGGCGAACTTTGGCCAACTGCTAATGGCTTATGACAGCGTCTTAGCAACTACTGCAGGGAGGGGGGACGCTCTGTCCGGTTCGCCACTGACAGAGAGGAAAATGTCATCTCATCTGGCCATGTGTGGTGGAGTCTATGCAGCAATTAGAGAGCAGGCCAGTGACTGGAGCAGGCCAGAGGCTGAGGAGGATGCCCCGCGGCTAACCAGGGAGAGAATTTTTTATGACCCCCTCATACACGCGCACACACATCCACGTGTGAGATCAGCCTGTGACGCTCTAGCTGCCTGGCTGCTGCTAGAATCAGGTTAGCGTCCCAACATGCCTTTGTCAGCCAGCTCTTCTGATTGGCTCATCCGCTCCATCTCGATACCTGTCTCCTGCTCTCTCGATCTCTCCAACCATCTCTCTCTCCACCACTCTCTCTTACTTACTCAAGGCGCTTTCTGACATTATCAGAAAGATGTGGGCTAATCTGTTATGATCTGATTACTCAAAAAGGAAACTATCTGTTCCTCTCACTTTGTGCATCCAAAACTCCAAAGTGTCAGCCATTTTTCTGCTGCTTTACAAATTTGCAGAGTGGCACTTCCAATCCATCGAGCACATTTCTGTGTCACTATGTCAAACGTTCATTTAAAAGCTACAAGACAGATGACTTGATATGACGTTTTTGAGATGGAGATCTACTGTATCACCTTTGCTGAACAGACCGGCTTAGGCTGGTTGGTTAGGTCTAAATGGTGGCTAGTATAGATAGTAGAATGGGCTGGTAAAGGTGAAGTACGTAATATATCTGCCACCGAGTGGGGCTACCTGTTTGTCTAAGCAATGGAAAACAGGGGAAGGTTATTTTTGCAATGTTGCAATTAAATAATAATAATAATTATTATTATTACTAACAATTTATATAACAACAGTAAAAGTACAATGCTGATATGTATGGTTGTCTTTTTCTTCGCTTTCAAACATTAAACCAAAGAGGTTTTATTTTTTTGCGGAAAACTGCAAAGAAACTTCTTTTTTTTAAATGCTTCTGATTTATAATCCATTCTTGTTACAAACTTGTGAAGATGATTGGCATGTTGCATTTTCAAATGCATGTCATATGCGACTAAAAACACACAGCACTTGCAGTTAAGCAGTGAAGTTTGTGTGGAGCAGCATTTACTGTGAACTGTAAAAAGATCACAATGCTGCGCTTCACTCTGAAACACACAGCGCATCAGATTATATTTTGATATATTTACAACTCAGTCTTTGCAATTTAATAATTGTGCTAAACCATATCACATTCTCAGGCATTGTTAAAAAAATAATAATAATAAAAATAAAAAAGTTACCGGAAAGCGAGTAGTACTGTTCTCATATACTCTCCAATGCTGATTTGGCGAGTGTTAATTTCCGGCCCTGGTTATAAGTCAGGCTGTCGTAGTTTATGCAGTACAGCTTCTTGCCCAATTTTAAGAAGTGTTTTGACTAAATTTTATTGGCCATGGTCTGATGGATGGGGCCAAGCTGTGGAAACAGATTGGCTTTTGCTTTACACCACATTTGGTCCATGGATGATTTCTAGAGCACCTCTGGCCTCTCCCTGCAGAGGGAGTCAGGTGACCTGTACTGCTCTCTCACTCTCCCTTAACATTCAAACACACTCTCATATGACTGTACTATGGCTTTCCTGGTCCTGCAAAATCTCAGCCTTAAGGGCCCGCCATCCGCCTTCTTTTCACTATGCACACATTCACACACGTTCACACACTCCTCATTCTAACTCACACACACAGGGTTGCATATAAAGAGAGTGGGCGAATGGGAAGAGGGGAGGGTCGGGGAAGAAAAGATAAAGCCGGGTTCATTGTATTCAGGCCATTCACATGGTTAGAATGGACCAGGCAGCGGGGGTTCCCTTTGCATGGGTCACAAGCGCCTCCCACCTCAAGAAATATTCTGAACATGCAGGAATTCCTGCGGTATGATTCCCAACAAGAGACACTTAGATTAGCAGGGAGCTTGCCGTGAACGCTTGCCCCACTATACATTTTCTGTTCCTAAAATACATACAAACATTAGTAGCGGTCTGCTGACTGCAATCACTCCCTCCTCTAGCAAAATGGCCTGAGCTCTTCTAGTTTCTGACTTGGAAGGATAAATATAAAGGAAAGTAGGGGGTTTAATGAGATGCAACATGGTGGCAATGTGGCAGATCTTTAGTTATGTTGACTCTGTTTTCCTCTTGATCACTTGTGTCTTGCGATATTTCCATGCACAGCTGTGCATATTTGTGTATTTATGCTGAACTTGCTAATATAAATACTTTTTTGATTTATAATTATGTAGAAAAAAATAGCTCTGTAAATAGGCTACTAATCTGCAGAGAGTCATAATTACAATCCGTAATTACCCGGGATTCATTTTA